CCTTTTGTCTCAGACCACTTCTGACTCTCCTTACTAGGGTCTCCTAATTTTATTAAATGGAGTTATAGTTTCTGTTTCTTGTTCTTTTTGGTTTTGTTTGGGGATGGATTTAAGGACCTGGGGGTGGGGGCTAAAGGTCCTTACTTCAAGTATCTTAAAACCAATATTGTAATCACATTTATGTTTGCAGTTTCTATAGAAAATAATGGGATCTTTATAGGTGGTGTTTTGGTTTTTCTTACAAAGAGAAAAGAGGTTTGAAAATGATAAAGTTTTCTGAGGCATCACATCTTTTCTGTTTCTGACCAGAAATATCTAGCATCTTCATGCTATATGTAAATCAGAATCAAGAAACTCATTGTATGTATTTACATGCTCCTTCAGTCAGAAGCAATGCTCAGAAAAAATAATAGCCTCCCCTTCTGGTAGTATTGTTGGTGGGAAATTGGTTCTGTGGTAGCTGGTACCTCTGTGTGTACACACACACACACACTCACACATACTCACACACATGGGGCTCTGTGTCTTTGATGACTGTCATGGCTCCTGGAGCTGCTGGGCTCCCATCTCCTGTCACTAACCCTTATTCCTATATTAATCTCTGATGAACTGCCTTTTGCTCCTTCCTCTGCTCCTTCACTAATTTTTTTTTTAAAGATTTATTTATGCAGGGCCTCCCCAGTGGCACAAAGGTTGAGCGCTGAGTTGCGAAGCTGCCTGTAGCCTCTGCAGCACTGGTTCGATCCCCAGCACCGGGTGAGGGTCCCACATGGCGCACAGACCTCTCCTGCCGTGCCCGCTGCTTCCCTCAGCAGTGTACTTCATCAGTCTGCCTGCTCTGCCCTCCGCTCTGACTCTGGTGAATTCTCTCACCCTCCCACACTTCTGACTGTACCCAGTGCTTGTATAAATAAAATAAAGCTTAAAAAAAAGATTTATTTATGCATACAAGAGCTGGGGTACAGGCCAGCAATGCAGGGGGTGAGAGGATTTACCAGAGACAGAGTGGGGAACAGATCAGGCAGACTGACTGAAATACATTGCTGAGGGGAGCAGCGGGCACGACAGGAGTGGTCTGCTGTACCATGTGGGTTGCTCCCTGGCCAGCCAGGGATCTAACTGGTGCTGCAGAGGCTGTGGATTGCTTCATAATGCCCCTTGCGCCACCAGGGAGGCCTTTGCACCACCAGGGAGGCCCGCCTTCACTAATTATTAATTTGTGCGAATGCCTACCCACTCCAGATGTCACTTCCTGCCCTCCACCCCCCTCCCTCTCCTGAGGGTATCTTCCCCGTTGGACTGTATATCACTTGAGGACAAGACTGTCTTACTCATCTTTGTATCTCTTAGAGCTCTGTGCTGGCTCATAACCATGGAGAGTACACCACAAATGCTCATTGAAAGAATGAAGGATGGAATATGAAGTTGTTTGCCTCTTAAGATCACTAGCCCATGGGTATTTGCTTTCCTTAACTTACCAGAAGACCAGTGACCAACTATCAGGTTTAATCTTAGGGTCTGGTAGAGTTCATTCTTCTCCTCTCTTTTTTCCTCAAGTCTTGTCATTTAACAGCCAATTTTGTTTCTTGTTTTACTTGTATATTAAAAGATAGATTTTAGATTTCCTTGTTTTTATTTCTCTTCTCAAGTCGAGTTCTCCAAGCACAATCCACATCACTGATATTCTTCAGAGTTAGGAGAACATAAAAGAATGAGGAAGAAAATGTCTGCAGCGAGATAAGGGGCCCTAAAAAGTTTAACTTCTTGGGCACACTCTGACCTTTTATGCAACGGAGAGTTCTCCAGGAAGAAAGTGAGAAAGACAGTTCCCACCAAGTTTGCAGGCTGCTGTTGCTGTCACCCTGGATACTAGCCCTCCCATCAGCACCATAGCCTTTCATTCAAGACACAGGTACACGGAAACGTGGTGATTTCTTCTCAAATGTATCCAAGTAAACTTGGCTCATATAAGAGCCAATGCAATACTGAAGCCACATAATTCCATGGAGCACAGAGCCCCAAATAAAGAAAGTGATGCAAATCAGCCCCTTGGCTTCAAGCAATGAGAATCAAATAAATTCTTCCAGTTATAACATTTCGGTTACACAAATATTTGAAGATGGTGTTTCGAAAGTATACTTGAGCAAAATTAATTCACTATGTAAACAACTCTCAAGAGATCTTAATGATTATAAAGTTTGCTTGGATCTTTCAGTTTCAAAAACAAAGGCTCTTCCAAGACAGAAATAATCATGTCTTCTTTCAGGGCTCTGAATCCAGGCAGGGTCCTTTAGTCATTGTATCCTTAGAAGAAAGGTTAGAGTATTGGTAGCTTTCTAAAAAATCAATTTGTTTAGGGCCCCCCCTGGTGGCTCAGGCGGTTGAGCGCCGCGCTGTGTAGATGTCTGCAGCCTCTGCAGGGCAGGTTCGAATCCAGCTGGCTGGCTAGGGTCCCGCATGGCGAGCAGACCTCTCCTGGCTCACCCGCTGCTCCCCTCAGCAGTGTATTTCGTCAGTCTGCCTGTTCTGTTCCCTGCTCTGTCTCTGGTGAATTCTCTCCCCACCCCCACCCTGTGCATCTGGCCTGTACCCCGGTTCTTGTATAAATAAAAAAAAAAATTAAAAAAAATATATTTGTTTATCCCAGATGATTGGTGACCCATAATATGAAAGATATTGATTAGAAAATAAATTCAAAAGGTTTTGTTTCAGGGCCTCCCTTGTGGCCTATGGGGTTAAGTCTCAGCACTACCACCATTACGGCCTGAGTTCGATCCCTGGCAAGAAAACTAACCCACATATGGTATGACCTCTTGCCTTGCCCACTGCTCCCCTCAGCTGTGTATTTCAGTAGGTCCACCTGTTCTGCTCCCCACTCTGTCTCTGGTGAATCCTCTCACTCCCCCACCCCATATGTCAGGCCTACACCCACACAAAAAAAAGGTTTCTTTCAAATCTAGTAAAAGGCATATTCTCTAAAGCTGCTAATTGCCTTTTACAACCTTTCCAGCGACCACAGATAGTAAAATCTGTGACAATAGACAGGAGATAGGCATGAAAAGGGAAGGAAATTAATTCAGTGCCTCATATGCCAGATAGTGTATGTACTCTACATGGAGTATATACACCTAGGGGCACTCATAGGCCTGCAGGATAAGTTCCCCACTAGACAGGCAAAAGGTCCAGATATGGCTCAGTAGAGATGAAACTGCTAAGTGTACACTATACTCTGTCCCATTTTAATAATGCAGGCAAAGCTTATTAAAAATGAAAGACAGCAGGGCCTCCCTGGTGGCTCAAGAGGTTAAGACACAACCTATGAAGCTATCTGCAGTCACTGCAGCGTGAGTTTGATCCCAGCCAGGGAGCTACCCACATGGCACAGCAGACCTCTCCTGACTCGCCCGCTGCTCCCCTCAGCAGTGTATTTCAGTCAGTCTGCCTGTTCTGTTCCCCGCTCTGTCTCTAGTGAATCCTCTCACCCTCCACACCTCTGGCCTGTACCCCAGTTCTTGTATGCATAAATAATCTTTTTTAAAAAAAATGAAAGATAGTAGTTCAGCTTCTGAACTAACCTGAGACACGGACCATATTAAAAGCCACCAGAGCTCAGTAGGAATAGTTCCCTAGTTTCCTTACCAGATATGGAGAATGTACAAATTCCAGAGTCAACATGAACTTTGACCCTGGACTGAAGTAGAGACTGAAACTATTTAATGATTGGAATCTAATCACCTAGTCTGATGGATTTAAGGTGCCTGACTTCCTTAAGGAAACTTAGAGTGAAAGCTGATTTTTAAAAAATAATAATGGTATGAGATAATGTATGTAAAATTTTTCCTTGGTGTTACAGGTGAAAGCTGAAAAAATATCACAAAAGAAATTGAGATTAAAGATTGGGACTGGGTTTAAATAATTAATTCAAAAAGCTTCAGTTAAGTCCATATCCTTGCATCATGCAGGAGAACTTGCTTTGTCTTCTAATTATTGTTGGGGTACCATTTAATAAGGTTAAAGCTAATTCCCCCCACCCCAATCCCACCAGCAAGCATGTTTGGGAGGCATGGCTAGATAAGAGGATGGATAAGTTTCCCTCCAGGCCAAGGCTATAAGACATACATACCAGCTTGACCAGAAAAGCCAGCCCCACTCCAGGAATGCAGAAGCAGAGGCCAGGACATGTTTCCTTGTCAAAGGCCAGCACCCGAGACCAGACATCCCAGCAGGTATTGGTGCAAACTAGTAGCCCAAGTTAGAAAGCCCAAGAAAACAATAAAAAAGAGACCCTCAAATCCTCCCTTGGGGCAGACCACTCCTGTCTTGCCCACTACTCCTCTTAGCAGTGTATTTCAATAAACCCACCTTTTCTGTTCTTCTCTGTCTCTGGTGAATTCTTTCACCCCAGCACCTCTGGCCTTACCCCAATATTTCTTCCCATTACACTACCATGTTTGATTGGTTTTTCTCTTTGGCAAATTGATGCTGTTCTCATCCCCTTCCTACCAAAACTTACATATTTAGTTACTCATAGAAATTTCCTCAGCTTCCACATCCATTTTTTAGGGTTGCAGTAATGAAGTACCACAGATTGGTGCCTTGAACAACAGGCATTTATTTTCTCAAAATCTTGAAACTCAGAAATCTGAGTGTAATGTGTCAGCAGGGTTGGCTTCTCCAGAGGTGTCTCCTTGGCTTGCAAATGGTTGTCTTCCAGCGTCTTCTCATGTCTTCCTCTATGCCTGACCCCCACTGTCCTCTTCTCTTATTATTACACCAGTCAGATTGATTAATGCTTACTCCAAAGGCCTCATTTTATCTTGATTACCTTTCAAAAATCCTTACCTCTACAGGACTCAGTGCAGTGCCTTGCAGCCTCTAAGCTTGTCAAGAATGGATGCAGCAGCAAAAATGGATGGATGTGGGCAGCAAAAAGGCCACTTCAATGCTTACATCTCTGTTAAGTTTCTAAGTGGTTTGTTTTATGTTTTGTTCTGCCTTAGGGAGAACGAATGCAGATGTGATGACTGCCCTGTCACAGGGCTACAGGATGCCCCGCATGGAAAACTGCCCAGAGGAGCTCTATGACATCATGAAAATGTGCTGGAAAGAAAGGGCGGAGGAGAGGCCGACATTCGACTACCTACAGAGTGTCCTGGATGATTTTTACACGGCCACAGAGGGCCAGTATCAGCAGCAGCCTTAAAGCCAGGAAGAGTCGGAGCCACACACAGAGACAGCTGCCTTATTACAAAAGGAAAAATAACAATCACTAGTTGCACTAGTTACCCGTGTGCTGGAATCATCTGCCACCCCCGCTTCCTGAGAGTGAAGCTACATTACTCAGGAAGAACACGCTGGATGTGGGAAAGTGTTCTCATTGCCTGACAATGCCTACCAGTTTGCAGCTTGGACTCTTCCCAGTTGGCAGTCTGTTTTGCCAGACCAACATCTGACAGCCTTCTGAGAAGAAAACACCTCTGCTGTCCAAAAATGAACCCTCTTTGACCCCCTTGTTTACAATTGGACATGTAACTCAAAGGTTCAGAGGCCATTTCAATCAATTCCAAATAGCAGCAGAACTGAACTCACCTATTATCTAGGATATCAGATGCCTATCTGGACACTTCTCTGTAGTCTACCTATGCTTTGGTGTATGTTTAAAATTACTAATCCTACCTATTAGGTGAAGTCAGAACCTTGAAAATAGCTTTTCTGGATTTTAGTGATTGCCCCTCCTAAACCTTGAGGCTGTTAAACATTTTCTTCCAAGGTGTGAAGCAGTGGCAGCCTTGGCCTCCTTCTGCCCAGGGCCGCTCCTGAGATGCCACCTGCTGTGTTACCTGTGGGACTGACTGCCAGGGGCTTGCCCAAACCACCCAGGGGAGAGGAAAGCCTCAGAAAATGCTCTCACTTGAGAAGACACCTTTGTAATGATACAAAATTTTAGATGCAACAATTTTCTATATACAGACTTTTTTGACAATGCCGTCTAGAAGTGTAGTAAGATTTTCATCTCTGCAGAACCTATAAGGCCTTCTAAAATGAAAATGTTCTATATTGCTTCAAATGTTTTCATGATCAAATATTCTTTAGTTGCACTTTGGAAAGTAAAAAGGCATCAAAGGATAAAAGAGTTTTTGTTTACTTTTTCTACTGTACACTCTGTGGAAATTGGTCTCTGTGGTATTTGGCTTTTGCTGTTTTGTATATATCTAATATTTCTATTTTTTTTATTCTATTTTAATACACTTGGTCAAACTAAATCTCAAGCTTTTTACTTACAGTTAACATTTCCAACTATGATAAAGGTAAAAATGAGGTCCTGTTGGGGTGAAATGAGAGGAAATTCCACATAGCTGTAAGTTCTACTGTCTTCCTTTGAGCATTTTCTGATTAGAGAACTGAGGGGATTGGTGGTCTGGATGCCTGAACAGCCCTTTATAGGACCAAGTTGGATTGATTTTCAAGTAGGTTTAGCAGGCACCATTAAAATATACTTGTATATGTTGGCTAGGCGTTGAGTGCCTAAGGAGAGGGATAAAATATTCTATTTTCCCTAAATTTTAACTTCTTTGTGAATTCTTCTCTAGATCTTCTCTAGAGAATTCTTAATTCACTAATGGAATCTTCACAAAGATCAACTATTATCACCGTGCCCATGTGCATGGCTCATCCCATGACGCACAATGACAAGCTTTCTGCATCCATTGCGTTCTAGAACCACACATATGACCCGATATATCTCATAGAGAACGTAAAGAACTCATAAAGCAAAAAGAAGTCTCTGCAAAATTACTAAAATTGCCTTAATTTTTCCTCTTAATTCTGCTTCCTTTTACCATTTGATATTAGCGCAGTGTGCAGTTCTCTCCTCTGAGAGTTGTCCTGTGTGTGGGCCTAGCCGCCCCAGCCAGCTTTTGCTCCAGCCACATGGTGCTTGGTAGACAACTCCATCTCCTCCTCCGGCAGCAGGAGCCCAGCCTCCCCTGAGTGAGAGCAAAGTGAAGGCTGAGTAGGTGTCTGCGCAAGTTTAGGCTCTCCTGTGGAGGGCAGGGTGGCGACGCCATCACATCCCAGAGCATCATTGAGATCCTGGAAAACAGCACCTGATCCCCAGCCCCCCAACCCCATTGTTGTGCTGGGGGTCAGGGGGGTGTATGTCCATGTATGACGATGAGTCACCTCAGGACATTTGGGTCAAAAATACGACAGTGGTCCCAAAAGGCGCTAACTAGACTATAGCTAAGTTATACAGCAGGCTCTACCAACTCGGTTTGTGTAATTATATGCTGATGTTCTCACAACAAAATAGCCTAAAAGGGGGTTTCTTAGAGTGTGTCCCCATAGTTAAGCCATGCAGGGCTGTACTTGAAGAGCTTACCTGGTGAGCATAGTGTGTGCTCGGGTTTGAGAGCCACGCCTCTGCTTTGACCCTTCTCACAAAGGGATCTGCTCAGATACGTTGGTTTCCTAAGAGAGCAAAGAAGTGAAAATGTGCTTTTTTTCCTTCTTATGAACGTGAAGCTCACTGAACTAAAGTTGGCAGGTTGTCCTTAGTAGAAGGGGGGCCTGTGGTCCTTGAGCCTCCCAGGTTCCACCAGAATCCCTCTGTAGGGACACTCTCCCCAGTCCCTTCAGGGGAGATACACCACCAAGGAAGCCTTGAACCCCATCCCAAGCGTGCCTAAGAGGTCAGTGAGAAGAGGGGCCGCATTTATTTACTCACCCAGTGGATCAGATCAAGGGCACTGAGATACCAGTATAAGCTCATTTCTGTTCCTTCCTCTCGCTCTAACAAGCTACATCCCAAGGAGTAGCTGCTAAAAGGTACTCAGTGCTTTACCACGATCATCTCATACAGTCGATTCAATTAAAACAAATGCTCAGTCCTCTAGCCCCCGTGATTTTAACTGCCACTTTTCTACCACAATTAGTGTAAGCCAAAAGCATCTCGATAAGATCACACCACTACTTTTCCTTTTGGTATCTTCACTTTCTATTTCTGGCTTGTTGAACGGAGACTTCAGTTCTCTTGACTCCTACATTTTGACTACCTGAGGTTTTTAGATGCAGTAAGATGAGTGTAAGGTCAGGACTGGACACGGTGCAGGTTTTCTGATCCCATGCAGACCGGGCAAAGGAGGCGTCAGAGTCCTCAGTAGTTTTGCAGGTTTTTTATTTGGGGTTCACCAGGCATATGGCAGGCAGGGGTGCTGGCTGGGGGGCTGGCAGGCCTCCCAGCCCCCAGCAAGTCTTCACTCTATTTGGGCTCTCTAGCGTTCGTTCTGCTGCTTCTCGGCTTCTCTTTCGGCTTCGGCTGCTACTGCTGCTACTGGTGCTGCTGGCGTCCCCGTGACACCGCCCTTAAGAAAAGCACAGTCTTAGCTCAGCTGAATCCCATCTACCTATGCCCACACCCTATTCCAGGTGCCCGCCCTCAGGCATGCATTCAGGACAAGGATCCATCATCTATCCTGATGGCGGAAGGGCAGAAAAGCCTGATATTTTCTTTACCCTACAATGAGCCTTGCCATTCTTCCCAGTGGGAATGATGTGTAAACACACAAGGATACCCACACCCCCGTTTGCTCAGTGATCTTCTTTGTCTTTGGCATGTCACAAGAATTCCCTCCAATTCATACAACAATTCAGAAGTTATGGACAGCACTCTCACAACTGAGAAGTCAGGTGCATGTAAGGCAACAGAAGAAATATTTTAGCTTCATTTCATGTCATTACCTTGTAAAATAAAACAAGTGAAATGTTTTTGTAGTGGAGTTCAGGCCTTGGTTGGGAGTTCTAAGTGAGCAAAGAAATTACTTACAAAATGCGCCATTACATGGAATACTATTCAGCAATCAAAAAAGATAAGCTCATGCCATTCACAGCAATGTGGATGGAACTAGAAAGAATTATGCTCAGTGAAAAAGTCAGAAGAAAAAAGAAAAATATTGGATGGTTTCACTTATAGGAGGAATATAGGGGAACCAAATAAGACAGTGTAAAAAAATAACAACACAAAACACAACAAAACAAAAACAATTATAAATCAGAGCCATCCTGCAGAGGAGGAGGAGGGAGAAGGGTCAGAGGGAGAGAGGGAGGAGCACAGGGAACTGAGGTGATGGTTGTAAAGGCTAGGACTGGCCACAGTGCAGGTTTTCTGATCCCATGCAGACCGGGTAAAGGAGGAGTCAGAGTCCTCAGTAGTTTTGCAGGTTTTTTATTTGGGGTTCACCAGGCATATGGCAGGCAGGGGTGCTGGCTGGGGGGCTGGGAGGCTGGCAGGCCTCCCAGCCCCCAGCAAGTCTTCACTCTATCTGGGCTCTCTAGCGTTCGTTCTGCTGCTTCTCGGCTTCTTTCGGCTTCTACTGCTGCTACTGGTGCTGCTGGCATCCCCGTGACGCCGCCCTTAAAAAAAGCACAGTCTTAGCTCAGCTGAATCCCATCTACCTAGGCCCACACCCTATTCCAGGTGCCCGCCATCAGGCATGCATTCAGGACAAGAATCCATCATCTATCCTGATGGCGGAAGGACAGAAAAGCCTGATATTTTCTTTACCCTACAGTCCACCCCCTCAGGGTTTTCTGCCATACAGTCTATACATATATATACAATTTTCTAAGCAAACAAGCAATGCAGCCATGGCCCACAAAAGCAAATACATCAAATATAACAAAATACAATATAACAAAATACAACAGAACACAAATAAGTCCAGGCAGGGCACCAACCAAGTGCAAAAGACAATTTTTGGTACCAGCAGATGAGCCACCAAATCTGCTGCCGAAGGCACTGCTCATACGAGGGAGGGGAATCACTCATGGCATCTACTATATCACACCAGGAGCCGTCAGGCTTCCTGGCCTTCTCTGGCTGTAGTCTCGGCTACAAGGCACACACAGCATCCACCCCCAGGATGCACTAGCTCTGGGATTGGCAATTTTATTCTGTTGGGGGTAATCACCAACCCTCAGGGTTTCTGTCTGCAGTCGCTTCAACACTCGGCCTTCACAGCCACCCATGCGACTCGCAGACCCCTGCACTCAAGCCAACCCACTGCACGAGCACATGGGTTGGGGATCCAAACTCTACATGCAGCTTGGGCTCCACCCCAAGCCATGTTCCCCACCCGTCCCCCAAGGACAGGTTCCTCAGTTCCTCACCCTCACTCAAGAATGAGCAGGGCATCACCCACAGGTGATTTTACGAGACTCACAGGGCTTCAGCATACCCAGGCTGCTTAACAGCCACTTAGGGCTTCTCAACTTAGCATCAGCACCAGCTTTTGCCTTCTTAGTTGGCTTTTCTCCTCCACCTGGCTGCTGGGCATGCACAGGCTGCTTTTGGCCATCTAGGCCCACTGGCCACCCCCAGATTCCCATCTCCTGGGGTTTACAAACAAAACTGTTCCACCCCCAGGGTCCCAAAACATATCAACCTGCAAGGTCCTCCGCCTTCTGGCGGGATTGCCAGTCCAAGTTCATCAGTCCATCAGTTCAAGTCCATTGGCCTCTCCCTGCGTCAGCAGCGGCCTGCTGCCTTAGGGGTCATTGGCTGGTCCTTTCCAGTGTCGATGGCTGGTCCTTTCCGGTGTCGTTGGCTGGTCCTTTCCGGTGTCATTGGCTGGTCCTTTCCGGTGTCGTTGGCTGGTCCTCTCCGGCGTCTCCTCCATGCGAGGTCTCGTCCCACAGCTCCGGACCGTATCATCCACCTTCTGTGCCGCCATGGTGCCTCCAGCGTCATCACAGACAAGCAGCCTGTTCTCCTTAGTCCCTCCAGGTCTTCAGAGGGCTCCAATACCCGTCTGCATGGATCTTGCCGACTTACGCCATTTGTAAAGGGCAGGACAGGAATGGACCACAGTGCAGGTTTTCTGATCCCATGCAGACGGGTAAAGGAGGAGTCAGAGTCCTTAGTGGGTTTTTGCAGGTCTTTTATTGGGGTTCACCAGGCATATGGCAGGCAGGGGTGCTGGCTGGGGGGCTGGGAGGCTGGCAGGCCTCCACTCTATCTGGGCTCTCTAGCGTTCGTTCTGCTGCTTCTCGGCTTCTCTTTCGGCTTCGGCTTCTACTGCTGCTACTGGTGCTGCTGGCGTCCCCGTGACACCGCCCTTAAAAAGCACAGTCTTAGCTCAGCTGAATCCCATCTACCTATGCCCACACCCTATTCCAGGTGCCCGCCATCAGGCATGCATTCAGGACAAGAATCCATCATCTATCCTGATGGCGGAAGGGCAGAAAAGCCTGATA